GGCGGTGGGGACTCGGTCTGTGTGCTAGGAGCACCTAGATGGGGCTCTCTCCAGCACCACCCACCAGCTGAGAGCCACTGTAGCCTGTCTGGATTCCTGACCCACATAGACTGTCAGAAAGAATAACTGATTTAGGGTTAAGGCCCTAAATTTAGGGATCATTTGTTATGCAGCAATAGCTGACTAACGCAGGTGGCTCCTGTACCCTGTGGCACTGCCCTTGGCCTCCAGAGCCCTGTGTCTGTTCTCTCCCAACCCTCTCCCCCCACTCAGGCTGTGGGGCAGACACCAGCACATGTGCCCGTGAGTGCACTGGCCTGGTCAAACCCTCGCTTAAGAACCCACCACCAAACTCATTGCCCAGCCTACAGATGGGCTCTTGCTGAGCCCCAGTGGGCCCTTAGCCCTCCCTGCTCTGCCTCCTCAAGCCTCACCTTGGAGGGTTGCCCTGCTCACCTGCCCAACTACCTGAGTACTCACTGCTGCCTGCCCAGCAGGAAGTGGCCTAACCCACTGTTGCCCTGACAGGTGGAACCATCTCCACAGAGCAAGTATGATGGGGTAGGACTTGGGGGCAGGTGGCAGCCAGCAGGGCCTCACCCCCCCTAACCTCAGCCCATCTGTTAAGTTGCTTTGCTGCATGCATCAGTATGGAAAACCAGTGGGGTCCCCGGAGTGCCTCACCTTGGAGGGTCTGAGGATGTTCTGAGGCTTGGGGGCTCTCATCTAGGGCAGTTACTGCCCCTTCACCTGTGAAGCCCTCCCAAGTGGTAGGAGGACATGGGTCTTGGTCCCATACCCCAGGACTTGTGTGACTCTCCCACTGGATGTTTATCTGAGAGCCTGGTTTAAGATGGAGGGTCCAGAGTTCTGAGCTGGGCTGTGATGTGAGAATTAAATGGCAGATGTTCAGTGCGGGCAGGGGTGGTTTCCTATAACTAGGGTCACTCCGTCACCCAGTGTCCTGTGAGGTGTCTGACACTGCACAGCAATCCAGGGGATGTGGCTGGCCCTCCTAGAGTCTGAAGCCCCCAGAGGGACCTTGGTACATAAACTCTGTCTCCCATAGCAAATGGCACTAAATATGACAGCCACCACACACAGGTCTGTTCAGGCATCTCCTACACAATGCATGCAGCAGCTCTGATCCAGGCCTGGAAATGGGATTCAGATGCAAGTAGTCCTGACATCAGTCTTGGAGACTCAGCCAGCCCAGCACTGAGAAGAGGCCCTGCTGACATACAGCCCGAATTCCCACTTGCACAGCCCTGCAACGTGCAGACTCACTTCTCACAATCTCAGATATGCTCCACTTAAGAGCAAGGTTTCATGCACACAACATTCACCAGTGTTATCAGTGATAGTTCCAAAAACTAAGAAACTGGATGCAGTCTAAATACTCAACACCAGGGAAAAAGTAAATTAGCCAAACATACCAATATCATAAAACATTCCAGGGCCATTTAAAAGAATGCTAGTAGGAATTCTATTCAGCAATGAAAAGAAACTATTACATGTTGCGACCTTGATGAACCTTGAAAACATTATACTAAATTCACAGAAACAGGAAGAAAGTAGTGTAGAGATTGTGGGGTGGGTGGGGGGTGGGGAAAGGGGAGCTGGAGTTAATGGGGATACAGCTTGTTTGGGTTGAAGAAACAGTTCGGAGGTGGACGGTGGTGATTGCTGCAGGACTCTGCAAACACACTTAATACCACTGAAACGTACATTTTAAAATGGTTAAAATGGTCAATTTTATATTATACATATATTACCACAATTAAAAAGAATTCTAGTTCGGCGGGCGTGGTTCAGCAGTTGAGCATTGACCTATGATCCAGGAAATCGAGGTTCAATTCCCGGTCAGGGCACATGCCCGGGTTGCAGGCTCAGCCCTCAGTAGGGGGCGTGCAGGAGACAGCCAGTCAATGACTTATCATTGATGTTTCTATCTCTCTCTCTTCCTCTCTCTGAAATCAGTAAAGATAAAAAAAAAAAAAGATTTCTAGTCAAAGAAGAGAAGAGGGTGCAGCGGTGTGACAGACACAGATAATGAGTGTGCTTTGCAGAGGGTGAGCATGGAACCCCATTTCTGTAAAAAGAAAACTGAACTATACACTTGTGCATGTGTGTGCGAGCACGTGTGTGCGAGCATGGGTGAGTAAATGTGTGTGCACGTGTGGACATGTGTAGGCACCAAAAAGTCTCTAGAAGGCTGCATGCCTGTTAACAGTGTTTCCCTAGGAGTGTGCCAGGGGTGGCTTACTTTAAGGACTTCTGTGTGAATGTTGTCACTTATGATGACAAAAAAAAAGTTTAAAGAATTGCTAGGATATTCAACTTTAGAGAGAATTAAAAGAGAGGGGTAATGTGACTTGAAGCCTGTCATTTAGTGAACAGTAAGTCTCTTTAAAGAGCCACCAGCCAAGCCTCCCCTGAGTCACTTTTACCAGCTCTCAACTACAGGCAGCCAAACAGGGGACGTGCCCTGCCTGAATGCAATGTGCTGTACAAAGGGACAGTTTGGCACTGAAACATCTCTCAGTTTCTAAATCAAGTAAAAACTTAAATACACTGAAGGCTCATGAGTGGAACTGTTGATTAAGAAGCTCAGGTCAGAAAGCGAACATGTTCCAGACACTGATTCTCACGACCCAGCACCATCGAAGAGAAAGTGCACGTCACCTACACTGCCCTTTAAAAGAGAGTTTATTTGTTCTAAAACTATTTTTCCTTTCAATGGAGGTTTTAAGGCTGAGGCAGCAGTTCTTACTGGTCTTTGAAGTTGGCCTTTCTCTTTTCCACGAATGCGGTCATCCCTTCTTTCCGGTCGTCCTGGTGGGAGAGAGAATAAAGCTGAGCTGGACGTCACATATCCTAGTGGGTCAGGCACAGGCTCTCCACACTCACAGGTGGGAGGACAGGGAGGATTCCGGAAACCCCGGAATGGTCCAGATCCCCTGACTTTAGAGTAGGGCCGGCCTGGGAATGGGTGTTTTTACACCCCCCCCTCACCCCACGATGTTCACTTAGGAACCACGAACGTGTGAGTCAAATAAAGTCTCATCTACTGAGAACCTCAGATGCACGCTATCTGAATCATTTGCCAAATCATCACCTGGATTCAGCAGTACCCAGGGGTGTCACGGGGCAGGAACCTACTCTACCTCTGCATCTTTTCCTGTGTGTACATGCGTGTGTGCACATGTGTGTTCACATGCACGCACACACACACAGGCACACACACATCTTCACTTCCTCAAGAGCCAAAGCAATTTCTTATCTTTCTTTCATAAAACACATATATATGACCTGGTAATAAAAGAGATGAATTTGAATGACTGTTAGAAGAATGATTTTCTTTACATCGCTGGCAGAAATCCTAGAAAACATTGCCCTAAACCCCATTCCAAGTGACTGGAGTGACAGGAAATCATGGGTAAACAGACTGCATTTAAGAGCCAATTCGGAAGTGCTCTCGTGATAGGAAACGGCCCTGGCTCCGTCTGTCCTTCTGAACTTCCACACACTGATCGAGCCCCCGACCGAACTACTGGCGCTAGCAGCTCTGACCAAAGGGGAGTGGGGCTGGGCGATAAAATCTACGAGGAAATTCTCAGCAGCATGTATGGCTCGAAGATGTGAGAGTCTTTACTTGAATGTTGTTTACTCACGGTAGCAAAAGTTGAATAGAAGAGTTTCTTTTCCAACTTATTTCCCTCTGTTAATGTCATTTCAAAAGCTGAAAAAGAAAACCCTGCTGTTATGGAGATGCTGAAGCTGGGAGTACTTCTCTGTGGTGACAGGAAAAAGTCTCCACAGCCCCTGTACTTAAACCTGATTTAAAATGTGGCCTGGGAAGCCCTGACCCCCCAGCTCAGTTCCTCTCCCAGAAGAGAGGGCGAGAAACTGCATGAAAGGTGGAACGTAAACTGTCCAATCACAGAGGATCTGAGGCAGCCCATAAAATTGTACTTTAAAAGTATTAAAGGCCCTGGCCAGGTAGCTCAGTTGGTTAGAGCATCTAGATACGCCAAGGTTGCAGGTTCCAATGCTGGTCAGGGCACATACAAACAAAACAACCAATGACGCATAAATGAGGACAGCAGATCAATGTTTCTCTCTCTCTCTCTCAAATCA